CCCCCCCCCCCCCCCTTTTTTTTTCTAAATCCAGAAGAGGTTTCATTAAAAGCTCACTGTATTATTACTCAAATGGGATAAAAAAGCGATTGAACACGTGTTAATTCTGATGGGGTCGCACCTTCAGTTTGCAAATGAAAATTTTCTAATTTTTAGGGGATGAGTGGAAATTTGGGAACTTAGTTACAGAAACTGTTGCCCGAAAAAAAATTACAGTGACAGCGATTCTGGTGTTTGGTCAAGGTTGCAAGTGAATAGTCGTCTAGTAGTTGGTATTAAAAGAGAAAGTTGGAATCTCTTACGGGCATGGTTGGGGATGTTGTGGAAGGTCAGCCTATAAGTACTTTGGTTGTCTTTTAGAGGGAGAAACCCCAGAGCTTCCAGTTTACATGTCCCCATGGTTTGGGACAATCCAAAAAAGGTTGTATAGTTGGAACAGCGGCTTTTTATCTCAGAGCAGGAGGCTTAACTTGGTTCAACCAGATCTGCAAGTCTACCAATTTACTACCTCTCTATGTTTTTTGGTTACCTTGCAAGGTGGCAAACAAAAACAAAAAGCTTATGCATGATTTTTTACAGAAAGGGTATGGATGAAGGAAAGATAGATCACTTAGTGAATTAGAAAGTTGCATCTCATTCTCAGGGCCAACGGTGGCTTAGGAGTGGTAAACTTGCTCAACAGAAAGATGGCTTTTCAGGGAAGTAATTATGGAGATATATTCTAAAGTCAGATTCTCTTTGGCATTCAGGCATCCAAAGTAAATATGATTTGCATGTCAATGTGTGGGGCTCTAAAGTGGTGGTTAGAGGCTCCATTCACTGTCCATGGAGGGGCATTTATCACAGATTTTTTTGTCTTAGAGTCTATCCTTTGCTCTATATTGGGAAATGGGGAGAGGATTCATTTTTGGGAAGATTTTTGGATAGGGGAGTCTGCTCTTATTCTTTCTTTTTTTGTTTTTTTTTGTTTCTAAAGAAAACAAACTTCATTGAGGGAAAGAAAGAAAGAGTACGAAACAGAGGACAAGGTTTCCTCAGACCCAATGAAAATACTAAAATTTAAAACAGGCACCAAAAGACTTGCAACAAAATGCAGACTACCATAACAATACTCTAAGACGCCACAATCCAATCCCATAGTACAAGTGAAAAAGAATAGTCCCAAAATTCTGGAGAAACCGGAGCCCATAAAGTAGCCCAAAAACACTCTCTCCCACAAATTATCCACTTCCTCCTCTCTAACATCGTCAAAAATCCTTCAACTTCTTTCCACTCAAACTACCCAAAAACAGCCATTACATCACACCTCCGAAGCACCATCCCCACCTTCCCTTTGAATAACAGACGCCTTGAAAAGGATTTACAAGGGGATACCCTGACGACTCCAAACACCAAATTTTCCTATATTTTCTTGTTGCTTTGAGAGAGCGGTCTAAGACATTTGAGGTAGCTAGGCTGAGCTGCGTGATGCCCTGTGCTTGTGATTACTTAATCATTCAGGCATTGTGCTTACAGTGGAAGAAAGAAGACAGAGGTCCTGCAGTGCGCTAGAGATTTCTAGTAATTATGGTCAGGAAGAAATAGCATAATATTTTAGGGTAAAGGAGGAGATGCCGTGGTTTCCTTATGGAAAACGGTCAAATTTTGGGCTTCACTATGGTCATTTCTTATGAAATCAGAGATTCTCCGTTCCTCCTGAACATGAATTGGTAACCCCCATTCCTAGGATATATTTAGATGTTTGTGGTTTGGCAGCTTTTTGGATGTTCTGTTTTAGCTTTTAGTATTGTTTTCATGATTACTATTCTTGTGTTTACTGCTTCGGATTCTGTCAGGATTGTTCTGTGGTTTTGTTGTTGGGAGTTCTACTGTGTTATTCTGTTGTTCTGGCTCTGTTTAGACTCTCTTAGGGAGCTTGGATGCTCTATTGGGTGTTTAGTTTAGTGGACTGCTCTCACTTTTGTTTTATTGCGACTCTGTTGTTATAACCAAATCAGTTTACTGACCAAATAAAAAAAGAGGGTCTTGACCTCACCAGCTTTTATGCACCGCAAATCGTTTTGGTAGTGTGTGAAAGTCTGCTCTAGGTCAAAATCATGATTACTGTTTTCAAACTACCGTGGATCTAGTCAATATAAGCCTTCAGAGAGTTGAGAGCTCAGCATATTTAAACAGGAAACTCTAATCAAATTCATATTGCTTACCTGGAGCCAAATAACCAAATGTTCCAGCAACAATTGTCGTAATGTGAGATTCTTCATCCTCCAACAGTTTGGCAAGTCCAAAGTCAGATACTCGTGCCTCAAGATTTCCATCAAGCAAAATATTGCTCGACTTTATGTCTCGGTGTATGATCCTAGGTGAGCAATCATGATGCAAGTAAGCCAGGCCTTTTGCTGCTCCCATTATGATATTCAAGCGTGCATCCCAGTCTAGCTGCTCAGATCTTTCTGTGGAATGCATCATGGAATATTATTGTTAAGGGTTTATTTCTACGTAACAAATATGTATAATGCGAAGGAAAAATTTTGTACAAAAGCAAGAAACGAAAAAAGTCTGGTAAAATGAAAGTAATGTTATGAAAATTAGGGTTACTGATCAACTTTGGTAGGACAAAGTGCAATTTTGGACCTCATTATTCGTTATTGGATTTGGTTTTGATTATGGGAATTCCAAGGGCTGCTGTCTCTGAAGATTTTATTTAGCTTGCTTTGATGCAACATCATTTTGCTATCAGTTAGCAAGTTGATGGTGTTAGGTATTGCATCCAAGGGACAGCTTCTTCACCATATCTTCACCTACTAATTTAGTTCGTTAAGTTTTGTTTCTCGTTTGGAAGCAATAGCAACAAACAACCTAATAAAACGAAAGCTTAGAACATTGAATATGATGGAAAAATTTAGCAGCATTATTTTCTCCAAAATGCACTTGATCACTAATAACTTACCCAATTCCTCATTTAGTTACATGGTATTTCATTGTTCTGCAAATCAAATTACTTGATACTTGATGTCTATGACATGCATGCGTTTTAACATGTTATTAAGGAATACAGGAACTGCACAGACACGGTTGATTTATCAACTATTAAGGTGATTTTGGCCACATTTTATGCTCCTTGTTATAAGAATGTTTGAAGCACAAAATTTCCATTGAAGTGGAAATCTTGAATCAACGAATGTACCATACCGTACACTAAATATTGAGCCTGATAAATGATGCATATCCCCCTGATGGAGATCATGATGCATGTCTATAAGCAACCTCAATAAAAAGACACCACTGTCCTTTTGTTGGACAGTCTTAAATATTGAAATAGTTATATGCATTACTTCTTCTTTTTTCTTTTCTTTTTTCACAAAATATATATTCCAATCTTTGTTTGCCTTCTAGGGGTTTTCTCTCTCTTTAATTTAAAAAGGATTTTCTTTCACCTTTGTTTCCTGGGTTCTACATTCATTACCCCCTTAATTCATCTTTAAATCACTTTATTATTACATTAAACCAGATGCACATGTAGCATGTCAAAGCAATAAAGTTAAACACAAGAAAAGCATCTCACCGTGAAGAGCTTCATCAAGGCTTCCACCAGATAGGAAATCATAGATTAACAACTTTGATGTAGGAGAATTGCAATATCCCCTTAAATTCACTAGGTATCGGTGTTTTATACTTCCAAGAATTTCTAGCTCCCTTTCGAAAAAACGATCAAAACCCTCGTTCATCTTTACAATTCTTTTCAATGCAAATAGATTGCCATCATCCATTGCAAGCTTGTACACTGTTCCAAAGCCCCCACAACCAATTATGTGTTCCTCATTCAAAGTCTCTAATTTCTTAATTATGTCTTTAGAAGAGTATGGCAAATCTCCATGAAACATTACAATTGATGCACCTGAAGTAACAAAATGTTAGTAGAGATATCGAAGTCTAGGAACTCAAGATTTGCTACATGTAAATCAAATATAACCCATAAAATAGCTAGGAACAGTACCTCCACTGACATCCATTGCGAGACCTTTACTGTCATGTTTACCAAACTTTTTATAAAGAAAGCAACCCCAGAAACACATGAGAGCCACCAGAAGAAGTGCACCCACAGTTGCTGATGCACTAATAAGTAGCCGACCGGAGTATTTCTTCTTTCCACCTTGATTTTGATCTACAATGGGTTAAATACAAAACCTGAATACCATAAGGTTTTAAACATTTTAAATTCTGTAATAATAGAAATTCTTTCGCTTCCTAAGGATTCTCTGGATATTCACACACATTGCACCCATCTATTTCACATCGAAGGAGGTTTACCTGAGTTTGGAGATTGGGAATTTGGTGGAGATTCTCGAGGGTCATCTTTGCATATAGTACTGATTTGTTTCCCACACAAACCACGATTTCCATCAAAGCTGCAATGAAATGTAGCAATTGACTATTTAAATAACATGGAAATCTTTGGGGACCACATTTCCATAGTTCCATATAAATTGTAAGTAACTGTGGCAAGATAGAGATCTTAAGAAAGTCTATCAGAGTAGACATTAGATGGGCAATAATATGATAACAATTCCTTTCCATGTTGATAATTCATCACTTTTACATTAGAAATATTTCACCCTACTGGAAGATAAAAGATAAAGGACATAGCAATGTAAAGAGTGTGAAATGAAGTAGAAACCATACGAATCATGAATAAGTGAGAACTGTACACTATCAAATAGCTTCATGATGACCCAGAACACATAAACTTCAGAAGATGAGCTGTACTTACGAGCTTTGAGGTAAGTTGGTAAGCATGCCATCAGATGGTATTGGTCCAACCAGAAAATTGTTTGACACATTGCTACAGAAAATCAAGATTCCATTGATCAATAAATTAGATCAAATTTCCTATGTTCAATAAAGCACCAATTATCAAGTTTGGATATAACTAAAAAGAATGAGGCTACTTACAAAGTGACAAGCTTATCCAACTTCCCTAGTGACACAGGAATACTACCACTGAGAGAGTTACTTGAAATATCTCTGTAATTTAAGAACATAAAATAGTGATGAGTTCCACATTGTAACACCAAATGGACGAGAATAATAAATCTACTGATTTGATAAATTGGACTTCATGCTTTCCAAGAGTATTTCAACATCATAATCATTTGCATCATTTGAAGTTAATGTGTGCGAGGAATTAACAATCATATCATGCATGTTATTGCTTCTAATAGGTTTATTTCTTCCAAACATTTGTACAAATATTATAACTGTTGAACAAGGTAAGCATTCAAAATAAAAAATAATTGCACATCATAAGGCGACATATGAGAGCATTCACTAACTACTATGGTATAATATGAAACTCGAAATTTTATACATAAATATGCTAATCAGTATAGTATTTACTGTCTGATTGTCACATCCAGTGATGATAAGTTAAATACTTTAGTTAGCCATAACCGCAGCCAACAGATCTACAAAATAACTTGTTTAAAGCTATAAATTCTTAACCCATATTGAATTAGGAAAAGTAAGTAATGGAAGCTATAAACGAAGATTGCTGCCCCAGTTTAAACAGATAACTATTTAAATTTCCCTGAGCTAAATCTAGAAAATTTTACCTGGCAGGTTCACTAGATTAAAATGTATAAATAACTAGTTGAAGAATCAGGCAACCCTTTCATCTACTATATCCACTGCATTTGATGAGTGAAGAAAACTCTTATTGGGCAATCCTCTTAGTTCTGGTTCCACTTTACCAAAGTGATTCATTCCTTATCTTTACCGTTTCATATCTTTATCGATATCTAAGCAGCTTAGTTGTCTTGTGGTAAGCTAAATAAACAGCTATAGTAAAACTGTATACATGAAAACATCAATGCATGTACAGTGCGAAATTTAACTTCTCCTGCATATTGCTTTAAAAGACAGTGAATTAAACAAATTTATCATTACAATGAAAAACAGTTGTTAAACAAGAAAGAATGAGTTACTAAGAAATCTCACGCCTACAGGATAACAATTTGGTCCTGGGATGTTTATCTGATATCTTTTACGCTACAATCTTACAATGGATGCATCACCTTAGTTATCAAATTTAAAACTAGGAAATACAAAAAAGATTTAAAAGGATTAAAAAAAAAAAAATTATCAACATGTTAGAAACAACTCACAAATATTTGAGGTCTGAAAGCTTTCCCAATTCATTGGGAATTGATCCACTTAAGTAATTACCCTGCAAGTATCTGTATCAACAAAATAAACTCAACTTCAGCAGGAAACAAACAGGATTACTTAGTATAAAAGGAAACATGGATAAAATACAGATATAGTTTGGAAATTTTTCTATTGACAATCAAAGAAAACAAATTGTAAAAGCTGCAACTTATAACTCAACTTTCAAAAATAAGCAAAATTACTCAGTGCAGAAAGAAACACGGATAAAATATAGATATTTCTATACAAATTGTTAAGCTACACCTAGCTAGGACAAGCTATTCTTGTCACAAGCTAAATGAAAGATGCTACAAGGAAAAACAATACTAAGAAGTGAAAGATAGCACTGCTGCTTTTAAATATGAACATACTAGAACAAAAACAACACTAGATGTAAGTTTTCAAATATAAAGATAGCACCCCATTCTCCGCATCTAGATGTAAGTTTTCACATGTAATAATTGAAATATGCTCCTAGAGAAGATTTTTATTTTCTAAGCATGGACACTTAAAGGTGGAAGCATACACAGATGTTGAGGAAGTTGGTTCTGTTGATGATAGAAGGTCCACTTTAAGTTACTACACCTTTATTGGAACCTTGGTAACCGGAAACTAAGAAACAATCAGTGGTTGCGAGGTCAGGCGCAAAAACAGAATTTTGGGCTATGGTTTATTGGATTTCTTAATAACTGTGGTTACAAATATTGTTCAAGGAATTGAGTTTTATACAAGTTCCTATGCCATTTTATAGTGATATTAAGCCTTCAATCGGTAAAGCTCTATCAGATTGAAAATAATAGGACTAAACGTATTAAATTTGACAAGAATTTTATCAAGGAGAAATTAGATGCCGGCATAATTTGTACAATGCTGTCATGATGGAAGATAATTTTTCTTGAGAGCATCCCAAGTAAAGTTTTTCATTCAACTTTATGCAAATTGGGCATCTGTAATCTATACACCACCTTGAGGAGGAGTGTTGGTATTATTAATTTTTATTGTTAAGGGTTTACCAAATTGACAGTTAATATGTCTAATATATGATTTCAAGGTTCACTCGCAGCCAAACAAGTTAAAATACTTACTTAACTAATTCAAATCTAAAGCCATCATTCAAATCACCTTATCATATGATATCCAGAAAACAAAAGGAGTCGCCTTTTTAGCAGTGATGGAAAAAAAATAAAAATAAAACAGTTAAAAGGATGAGCACATATCTGTTATTAAACAAATTTTCTTTGTTGAATCACTGTATATAATGATCTCCAACCAACTAATTGGAAATATGAACAACCATCATTCAGTAGTAAACATAAGAACACTTTTTACAAGATAACAATTAGTGCAGGTGAACTTACATTCCCTGCAACTCCGTGCAATTCCCCAGATCTGAAGGAATAGTCCCATAAAAGTTGTTGTTATGAAGAGCTCTGCAACATAATACATCATTCATAGAATCAGTCAGAGGAAGACATTTTTGATATATCAAAGATACATCAACTACCAGAAAAGCTATTATATTTCTCAAAGATGCATACAAAATCTTCAGCTGATCTAGCTTCCCAAGGTCAGGCGATACAAATCCACTCAACTTGTGACCAGCAAGACTCCTGCCAGATAAGTCATGAGAAGCAAACTTATAATTGCAAGTAACAATTTTCGTTCTTATGCAAAAAAGAAATTAGGTCTCGATAATGAATTATAAGGTCTATCCACCACTGGACCAAGGAACAAAAGCATGCCCCACTGCACGTTCTCCGAATCCAGAAGAATAACACTGATGGGAATGTCTCTAAAATGTCAGACAACGATGCCCAAAGAGAAGCTATGACCTTAATTCTATCCTAAAGTAAATGCACCTCTTCAACTTGCATTCAAAAACTCCCCTATTTCTTTTCGATCACAGTCCATTGAAGAGTAAAAGTTGCACACTTTCAAAAAGTCACTGCTTTCTTGTTATTCCCTACTAACAAAGTACGGTACACCAACAAAAGATGACAATTTCAAGATCAAACCCACAAAATGTCAAACATCCCCAATAATCGAGACTACTTGTCTTGTGAAAGAACAATGTTAAAAGATTTGATGTACATTCTCCCCCTTTTTTTACACATTTGACACCAATGTGGAGATAAACACACAAGTCTATTTTTTTTTTTTCTAATTGGAGACAAGACTTTATTAATAAAGAGCAATGGTGCACTACCAGGGACAAGATGTCCTCTAAAGCAAAGAAAAAACCAAAACCAAAGCCATCCACATAAATCTCAAGAAACAAGGTGTTAGTTCGATATGCATATAAAGTGATACAGAACATAATTATAGGTACTCAGAACTCACAAGTAGATTACTCTCTTTGTTTTCTTATCACATTTCACTCCTTTCCAATTACATGGATCGGGATCTTCTGGTCTCCATTGAATAAGGATACCATCCGAACTAACAACTGCTGTCCTGAAGCTTAGAAGTGCCTCACCTGCAAATTAGAAACAGCATTCGATAAATCAACCATATCAGATTAGGGCATGTCTGTCAGTCTAGTAATACAAAAGAATAGACTACTTTTTCAGATTAAGTAAACGTACACACTACTACGGGCACATTCTTGGAATCACTTATGTGATACCTGATTAGTGTTTCTAACCAAACTTCACATAGGCTAATACAAGTACATCAGCAAATAAAAATAAAAATAAAAATAAAACAGCATATCCATTATTTCCAAGGTTTTGTTTTGATGGTAAGAAGTAAGTCGATATTTCTTCATTAGTTATAATATTTGGCATGCCTCAAGACAACTCAAAATTAAATAGAAGAAAAAGGACAAGAGAGACAAATATATGTCAAATTACCATCACGACTGATAGCTCTGCATTCATTCGTTATTATGTAAAGCAGTAGAATGTAAAGAAGCCAGGGTCCACTCCATTTCACCAAAAAGATGCCCATAGTGGCACTGGTCAAGCATAATACAGCAACTATAATTCATCTGACACACCAAGCTTTAAAATGCTTCCCTCTAGTTGACGATGACATCCAGCAGCCGGAAATGCAAGAAAAAGGAAGCCTGGAGAGAATAAGAACTAAGTCTAACAGTAGAAGCAACACGAGAACCTCATTCAAGAAAGTGACCAAAGCATTTTAACATTTGTATGCATTTTTCTGTGTTTAATAGCGGTTTGAACTCGGCCAAAAAAAGTAGCCATTTGAATGTATTATCTTAGATTTAGCAAATACAAGTTACTATTTATAAATTGTGATATGTTCAGTTCAGATCTATACTATATCACATGTTAGGAATCCTTCGAGCTTCCTAACAAAAAACACAATAACAGTTTCCATTAATGTGTTGGAAAATGAAAAATAACTAAAGATGGCATCAGGTACAATGGAAATGACCATACTCACGGTAAGTAATACAGCAAAAGTGCATCCACGGACTAGTAAAACAGATACATCAGACAGACAATAAACAACCGCATTTAAAAAGATCTAGGAAAATGCTGAGTATAATACCATTTCAAAGCTACCCTAGTTTAGAGTGCGGATGACAAATCATGTCAACCCTACCCCCTTGTTCTCCCATTTTACCTTCCGGTCACCAACTAAGCTCTTTCATAACCCCAAAATTTAACTATAATGACCATGATATACTTCATTTCCAACCCAACAAAACCCATTCAATAAATTATTTTATTAATGGTAAAACAGAAGTCTTTGCATATAGACCCATTGTGTGCCAAACTATCTAGGTTGGATTTACATACACATTTAAAACGATATGCAATTTACTATAACAAGCTCATAACTGTCAAGGATTACAAAAGCAAGTCGAATAATAAATGCAATTAGTAAACCCAATAACACATTGAATTTATCTTCAAGCGAAGAAAGAACTTCCACCCAAGAAAAATCTTAAGCACCATCAATCATTCTTTCATTTTTTTTTCGTCAAATTAGAAACTTCTCAATTACTCATTCCAAGTCCACTGCTAGTCCTAACAGCTAAAACTTAGTGAATTAGACCATTAATACATTTCCATACACTTCAACATAATTGAGAATAAATTGAAGTAGCTAGCATCGCATAAATTAAAGCAAAAAGAAAATCTTGAGCTGAAATTGAGTGAGATTTACCGAGAAATGTGAAAGATGAAGAAGCAGCTGTTGGTTGTGATCGATCTGAGAGAGAATGCAGATTGAGCTGTGAAACAGAGAAAGAGCAGGAAAGGCCAAAACGCCACCGCACTAGTCTCCCCCTTTGGTGAAGTCTCTGAGATTTGTGCCTACGCCAAGAGAGAGAGAGAGAGTGTGTGAGAGTGAGAGAGAGAGAGCAGTGGAGAGAGTGAATGTGTGGAATTTAGATGCTTTGGAAATAAACAATTAAAAAATAGGGCATTAAGGGAATTTAGCACAACCAAATAAGGGAAAGTACCTTCGCACGTGCCAACGCTGACCTTCCGTACGTGCCACCGACCGACACCTTACATTGGAAACCCTAAGAATAAATAAATAAATAAATAAATAAAATGATTGGCTCTCCTACAGTTCGCGATTTTACAGTGGAGTGGAGCGGGCCGTTGAATGGTGCACAAAAGTTGTCATGCATAACTTCTCTTGGTGGAAAAAGTTTCCAGCATTTATCCGGTTCCTTCATTTACAGAGAGAGATTTGGTTGAGTTTGGTTTGGTTCGGTTCGGGTTTATAGTAAACCAAACTCATTTATATAAGCAATAAGTTGGCTAAACCGTAATTAAACTTTTATAGAGTCGGTTTAATTTGATTTGGTATATCGCCATCTTGGTTCGATATGGTCAATATTCAATGTTTTCGACACAAAAGCACACCTCTACTTCCAGGAGGTCCCCACTTATAACTACATTTTTTAGTTTGGATTCTACGTAAAAAAAAGATAAATAATTCTTTTCCATTTTGTAAATTTAGGTTGTTGTGTTTTGTTCTCTTTTAAAAAAAATGAGAGAGGTTTTGCTCATCAATTTTTTTGTAATAGTACTAGAATCATCACCAGTGCTAATAGGCTCCATAAATGAATGATCCTGTAAGTTTAAATTGAAATAAAAGTATTATAAATTGATGAAGGCTCGAATACGCAATTCATTCAGAGTCCTTACATCACAAAAGAGAAGTGCCCCATGGGGCAATGAATTCAAAATGGTGACGGTATATAGAGATAACAATTGTGTTAATTAGTAGTTCCTACAAAACAAATACAATTAAGTGTCGTGATCAAAATTTCTTATTTAATATAATGGACAATGTTAAAACGGCCCATATTGTTAACAAAGTGTGTGTGTGTTTGCGAAGAGGGGTATAATATTTGAATAAGAAGTTTTGTTTACAGCATACCTCCAAACTTGTATATTCAACGGTTTTTTTTTTCTCTTTAGTCTGGGGTGTTAGTTTATTTAGTATATGTTTCATTTCTGATGGAGCTGGGTGTTTAAATAAGACCCTAATTCTTATAATTATGAAGGGAAAAAAAATGAGAGATTGAAAAGTTTTATTCATATTTTTATTTACATTTGTCATAAAAAAAAAATTGGGAAGTTTCCATGATTTGGGATTAATAAGTGAATGTAGAGAAATCGTATGGTCTTGAGGTAAAGACCCTTCTTCTTGGGTTTGCTAAGTAATTTTGTGCCCCTTCCCAAATCAACTTCCCGGTGGCCCCAACTCCCCAATCCCTCTTCTTTCTTTTTTTTCTTTTTTTCTTTTTTTCTTTTTTTTTTAAATTTATAATTTTATAAATAATTTCAATTTTATTATTTTGTTTAGTTTTAAAGCTTGGACTGAATTTTCTAATGAATATCAGTTTTTTTTTTTTGTCTGAACCATGAGGTGGTCCTGGATGGGCCCCAACTATGTGTGGCACCTTTAAGCCTTAACCACAACCCAGACTAATCCCCACTCACACCGGGTCGGCCCGTAAGGGGTGAAGTATTGGCCAAAAAGGTGACTCCGTACGAATATCAGTTTTTAAAGTCAATGAAAGTTTACTTTTTCTGTTGTGGTTCTGTTACAGAATCCTACTAGTCATACTCATCCTCTTTTAAGCATTATCAATTGCTGCCATTTGCTGATTCAAAAGAAGTGGTGCTGTTCTGTCAAGTACATTTTTCGAGAGCGGAATTTTGTTACTGATTCTTTGGCGTCTATGAGCCATGATCTTCCCTTGGGTTTGCATGTTTTGGATTCAACGCTTGGCATGGTTGTTGAGCTTCTTGCTGCTGATGCCAGAAACTTGGTTCGTCCAAGGATGGTTGTTGTGTAGTTCTTTTTGTGTTGTTTGGGCTTCGGCGCCCTTTTTATCCACACACAAAAAAAAGTTTGCTTTTTCTAGTGTTAAAATAACTAGATATAGTAATAAAATTGTCCTTATATTTTTTCAAAATTATTTCAATGTTTAATTTAAGGTACATGTGAATTTATTCTTGGAGAAACATGTGTAAAAAGTGGATATTTCATGACCATGGTGAAGGCTTGCTTCTCTGTCAAGTCAACCTCATTTTGATCTCCCAACTTCCATTCAAAATCTCTAACCAAATTGGCCACAAAATATTCAACATGAAGCAGTGACACATTAATAGCAGGGCAAATCCTCCTCCCTGCACCAAAGGGCATCATTTGAATACCTCTAACTCCCTTGATATCAAACTTCACCTCTTGTTGACCAGTTTGTATGAATCTCTCTGGTCTAAACTCCATAGGTCTTTCCCACACATTTGGATCACGTGACATTTCTGCCACTGTAAAATTCACCATTGCATCTTTTGGTATGTCATAACCATCCATTTGAATATCTTTCAAGACAGCCCGTGGCAAGATGAAGTGGCTTGGTGGATGTCGGCGTAGAGTTTCTAACACAACTGCCTTCAAATAAGGCATCTTTATTAAATCATCTTCTGCAATATCTTGTTTTGGTTTTACAACAGAGTTGATTTCATCTAATAGCTTCTTCTGAATGTCTTGGTTCTTCACTAAGTTGGCCATAACCCATTGTAATGTGGTGGTGGATGTATCGGTTCCGCCTAGCAGAAACTCCGAGCACAAACTTACCTTTTCATCATCCGTAAGCTTTCGTCCACCACCGTCGGGGAGCTGAAGATCGATTAGACTATCAACATAAGAGAGAATACATTCTTCGTCTTCAAATTCATTGTTGACTTTTTTACTCATTAACCATTCATGACGTGCTTTTATGATTGAGAGAATGACATTTACTTGATTACGACGAATCTGTAAGAGTTCCTTCCACAACTTTCGAAACACGATCTTTGATATGGTCGGCATAAAATTTAGTTTGTTGAACCTAACGAAATTCAAAAGCAGTGCTTGTTGCACGCTTTCAATATCTTTAATGGTTTTACCATCAAATTTGACTCCAAAACACATATAGGATAGTAAACCAAACATGACAAATTGAAAATTGTGCACCACATGGATGGCCTTGTTGCCAGAATCTGCTTCATCTAAGATCTTATCCTTTAAAAGATTATATGCCCATCTACGACCACGCGAATACGTCTTGAGTCGAGAAGGATGTATTATGGACATGAGATTTTGACGAAGGAGACGCCAAATTGGGTCATATGGTGCAGAGCTAACAGTGCACTGGTTGCTAAAGAAGATTCGGGTGGTTTCGAGAGCAGCAGGGCGACCAGCAAAGACTGTACCATTTCTCACAAGTGCTCGATGAGCAGTTTCGTGGGTGGTGATGAAAATGGCAGGACGAGACCCGATATGGAGAGTAACAATAGGGCCATACTTGGAACGCAAATGGTGGATAACGGGCTCAACATTAGCGAAGTTGCTAGAAGATTTGAGAAGCCAATAGATGTTCCCTAAGATAGGTAAGGTTGGGGGACTTGGTGGTAGTCTTTTATTGCTTAGGAGCTTTAGTAGCGCAGTAAAAGAAATGTAGAGGCAAACAAAGGCAAGGAGAAGAAACCAAAACTCCATTTGGAAATGTATAAAAAGGAAATTTAATACATCTTCTAGGTGTTGTAGTTTGAAGCATTTATATTTGCTACAAGTGGGGTTTAAAGATTGATGGTAAAACGTAAATGTAGTTTCCAGACATCAATCTAATTCTAAACTGATGCCATTATTTGTCAAAAGTAAAAGAAACGAATGTCATTAGTAACTTCACACTTATTAAGTCATAGTTGTTTTTGTAAAACTAGTTATTCATGTTTATATACAAAGTCAACTAGTGAAATACCACTGGATTCAAAGAAGGTTGGCGATTTAAGGTTATTTATAATGGACGAATCAGTCTTTTAATCACTGGATGTGGAAAATTAAAAATAGATGTAGAAAATAAGTTTTTCTTGTCATACTTCATATGTCATTAAAGCTTACAATATTCAGCACATTTTTTTTAGGCTTAAATGTCAAAATGGTCCCTGTGTTTTACTTCATCGGCCAATTTAGTCATCGTGTTATCAATTTGGCCAATTTAGTCCCTGTGTTTGTCTATTTTATCAAATATGGTCCTTTTGGTCAAAATTCTATTGAAACTGAAGAAAAAAAATATTTAAATTAATTATAAATATACAAATTCAAATAATAATAAAAACTTGATTATTAAAAATCATGTTCTTGCATTATGTAGCAAAGAAAGTTATTGCGTCAATCGTATTTTCTTGTTGCAATCGTCTTCCTTCCCCAATACCAGAACACAATGTGTACTTTTTGGGGTTGAAGTGGGCATGTAGTGAGAGTGACTATGGGTTTATGAGGTAGTTGAGGTCTGAGCGTGAAATTAGGGGAGACAAATTTTTTTATTCATTTCATTTTTAGATTGATTACAATTTTTTAATTTAATTTTAATTTTAATTTTTTTCAGTTTTAACAAAATTTTGACGGAAATGATCACATTTGCTAACATATACAAACACAGGGACTAAATTGGCCAAATTGATAACACGGGGATTAAATTGGCCGATGAGGTAAAACACAGGGACCATTTTGACATTTAAGCCTTTTTTTTATACAAGCGATATTGAGCGCCTTAATTAGGCCATAATCTATTCCCTATTTAGAATGGGTGCTGCTATTTCCACCCGCTGTCCTATTTTCCCACCCACCATGTAAATTTGAAAAACAACAATCCTATCTTTCCATCCACCATTATTCCTAAAATACTCTATAATTATTATTCAAGTAAATTCTCCACCCAGTCACATATGGACAACTGTCAATCAATTTGAGACTTAAATAAAAAACAAAAAGATTTATCTCAGCCCCCCTCTCTGTGTCCCCCGCTCTTGCA